ATGTTTAGAACATCAAACACTTTTTCTGTTTTCTTTATCACTCTTATAATGGTTGATGAAATACTCAACACACACATCACGGAAAATTTGATTCCGTCAGCCACAGTGTTTGGGCAGGAAATTTCTAAATCCTTTCTTAGTGTTTCCACAGCTGGTCCTCGGCCTCTTCCATATGTTTATTGTCGTCCGGACAGCTTTACCTCTTCTCTACAACGACTTTTGCAAGCAATGCAGTCCATACTGACTGCTGGGGTGGGGGGTACGAAAGTGTAATAGCGCCGAATTTTGTTTAACTTTCAAACCTAGTTTTCTTAAGATTAGTATGTATTAAAATTCTGAGTGTCACCTTTAACTGAGCATAATCTGTTTGGGGCGTTATTTTACACTTTCGACACCCCCTCCCCGCCTTGTAATATTTCACAGCTATGTAATTTTTTCCCCAAGAAATAATTTTTTCCCATTGGCTACCCTTTTTGCACTGTTTACATTCATCACTTTACGTACTTTACAGTTCGTTTCAAACAAACTATTGTGGCTGGTGTTCAACGCATCCCTAATCAACAGGTTTTTGAAGACATCATCATTTTGAAGATTGGGGCACAGTTTTACAATAATATTGATAATTGCATTGACTGGTACTGTAACTATGGTCTGCTAGCAGTCAATATGGACTGAATTGCTTGCAATAGCCGTTGTAGGGAACAAATCTATTTGCGACGGTGGACAACAGAGTTTGGAGGTACGCACGTAAATCTTGGGAAAGGCGCGAAAGTGTAATAGCGCCCTGTTTGGGTTTAATGTTATCTATTTGTTGAAAACTAAGTTTCTTCATTGAATTGGTCTTCAAATTGAAAAGCTGATTCTCGGCGTGGCCGGTAATAAAATCATAGGGAAAAAAAATCACACCTTGGTTTTGCACGTGTTTCGTATACATGAACCTATTGTAGCAGATTTTTTTAAAAACCACGCATGTTATTGTCAGTTTCCCTGGCTGGAGGTATAAGAATTATCTTTCACTACATCCAAGTTTTATTGATCCATAACAGCACTGAGATCAGATTTTCACTATTTAAACTGTCTTCAGGGTTAGGATAAAAAAAGAATCAGTCTATTAAAGAAACACTGAAACAGTGCTAACATTGTTCTGTGACCCTTTTTTTTTCTTTTTTTTTTTTCAACGGGATTCGTTTCTCGATAGTTAACGAAAGAGGGAGGCAAGTTTATGTGTAAAGATTCGGTTAAACTGCTAAAGTGTGTATCTTTATACGGAAATATTTTTTATATATTTTTGTTTAAATTAATATAGCTTAAATTTCTTTGAGAAATTATTTTTTAAAGGTTTTAAGGTATGTTCGACTTATGATTTAAGAATCCCCACTTTTTCTTTCTTTATGAAAGTAACACAAAATCGGGATGTGCTATCGCAGAACCATAGGTGCGTAAACTCAGCACACAATCAGGGTCGGTGTTATAGCTTAAAAACCATTTGGTATTTTTTTTCTTTTTTAAAATATCCAAGTTATTAATGTGCAAATAACGTAACGGCTATCGGCGAGTCATGTTCTAGTTCTTGCTTGTTTCATTCGCTTTCACACAGATGATATGAATCTGTTTCTTCTCTCTCTACCCAGCTATGGATTAAATAGCTGTGGAGACTGGATTCAGTTACTTTGGATGACAGACAATCGAGAAAAATGAATACGTTGAACAAACACACAAAGAAAACAACAGGGAACCACACCGCTATCTTTCACAAGACCTGATGGAAATTTATTGTTAATAAAGAAAACGAAGACTTTGAAAACTTTGGCCGCTTACATTCTATGAGAACCTGGTGTATGTATATATATATATATATATATATATAGGTACCTCCACGAGATCGCTAAAATAAGAGCATAGCATAATGAAAAAGAAGCCAAACTTGACGAAAACAAAATTTTATCGTCTAAATGTTTATTATTAAGAGGAAAGAAAAGTATTTTGGGGTATGTTTTTACATTTTTTTTAATCTTTCCTAGCACGTCCGAAATTTTCGTTAAAAATCTTGCAACCATTTTTTTCCGTTTTATAAAAAAAGGAAAATCTCAATTTGAAATTCTTTTAAAAATCAATTATCATTTTTTCAAAACTTATTTTAAGAAAGTCAGAAATTATAATGTTTATTTAAAATATTTTGAGCCAAGCTTAACTTAGCTTCTGCACCGAAAAGATGTAATTTGACAGGTGATGAATGACATATTGACGGATTACGTGAGAATAATTCCTTCTACGGAAGGAGAGAAGTGAAGTTATTTACATTTAAGTGAACAAATTATTTACCTCGTTATTTTTAAGAAAAACTTTCAGCGCTCTAATTTATTTATTTTTATTTATTTATTATTTATTTATTTATTTTGTACTTAGCTTTCACCTTTACGTTTACGATGCTTTATGGAAAATATATTTTAAAGAAATTAAAATAAGACTGTTAAGAGTGAAATTAAATTTCATAAGAAAGGTATCTAATTTAGAGCTACCTTTTCTTATGAAATTTTATCAGAAGTCTACATAAAATACCATAATTTTATGTACATTTACTAAATTTTACTGTGTTATTTGTATTTCCATTCATTTAATTATTATTAATTTTGATATTTCATTTATGGAAAAATGTCATAACTGAGATTAATATAAAAATAAGATCATATAAATTTCATAAGATGATAGTGATACTTGTAGGTACCCTTCTCAGTTGAAATTGAAAAATCAAATTAAATTCTCCATACGTGTTTCGCAAAATTAAAGGCCTTAACTGCGGAGAAAAATACTTAACTCACATAATGCAACTTAATTGTATTCTGATTGGTCTTCCGTACTTCATAATTACAGCCCGATTATAAACACAAGATTACATTTCTTAATTACTGCGGGTCTTCTGATTAGTCAAAACGATACAATTTACAACGCGCTAAAAAAAATCTATCTCATAAGGATACTTTCGAAAGCGGATGCGGCTTTTAACTAATTTTATAATATTTTAACAACTTAAATGTAAAAATCTATTATAATTAAAGAAATAACAAATAATTGTATTAAAAATTCATTTTTCATCGAAAATTTTTTCTTTCAGAAAACATTGTCCATATTCATAAAACAACTAAAAGCAAATAAAAGCATTTGAAATTAAATAATATCTTTGTTTTATTGAGTTTTGTATATTACAATTCAGAGCTGATTTTCAGGTGTGGGAGGGGGGGTCCAATTAAAAATAAACATGATTTGCATTCCTCAAAGCCTTGTGCTTTTAACTAAAAAGTGGACTCGATCGAATTTCTAGAGTTTTCATAAAATTAGTTATGGAGGGGAATAAATATAAAAAAAATATTTCTGCCATGACTTTAATAAAAAAAAAAACATATTTGTAATAATTTCGATCGTCTGTGAATAGTTTCATTAACATCTGACAATTATTTTTATTTTTGCAAGATTTTCCAAATTAATGTGTGTCATACAAAAAGAACGTGCTAAAAATTGTATATTTTACTAGTTCCGGGGATACAAAGAGAAACAAGGTTTTTTTAATCAAAATTTAGAATGTTCTAAAAAGAAAGAAAAATTTTAAAAGTAATTAAAAAAAAGACTTTGGTCTTTCCTCTTTATAATAACGTGAACATTTAGAGGATAAAGCTTTGTTTTCGTCAAGTTTGGCGTCTTTTTTCATCATGCTATGCTATTTTTTAGCGATCTCGTGGAGGTACCTATCTACCTACCCATATATATATATATATATATATATATATATATATATATATATATATATATATGGAAACATAGTCTTCAGGCTGTGTGTGTTGTGCTTTAGCTCAACTATTTATATATGCCGGTCTATGTGGGCATTTTGTACTTTGTTAATTGGCTTTTTGTTTACATAATTTGTTTATTTGTTTATTCATTTAGATTATTTTATTTATTCATAAATTTACGCATAAACATAAGTAAACATAAAAAGCAATCATAATCAACAAATAATGAACTAGTCAATAATAAATAATAAGTAAAAAGTTAAAAAAAACACTATATAATATTTACAAATAATTATTTCAGCTCAATAGCCTCTAGAATAATTTGAAATATAACCTTTACTGCCCACCCAATAAACGTTAGGATAATAAAATAGACCTTGGCACCCATAATGCATCATTGGCCAGCATATATAAAGCATCGAGCCAAAATACAACCCACATGGCCTGAAGATTGTGTTCATCCCCCCTCCCTTCTCATATTCAATTATCCATAAATTTTTATATATGTATTTTATTATGAAATTTTTAATATCATGGGGTGCGTTTTTGTAGCCCCCCCCCCGAGAGGATGTGGTATTACGGTGTCTGGAGGATTGATTGGTGACGGACGAGTTTTTTTGTTTGTTTGCTTTTTTGTGGTGAATATATAAATTGTAATGAATGAATGGCTCGTGAATCGGATTAGCTAGGTATAAGATAGTGAAGACCAGCCTCAACCCCTCCCCTTTTTAGGCCTTCAAAATTGGATTTTTTTATACAATAAATATAGGTCTGAAGATTGTGCTTAAGCATGAAACAGATTATTGCTGCTTGGTATTGACCACAGTGTCCATTTTATATATATGTATTCCTCTGTTTGGGGTGAAATGATTAAAAAAAATAATATAAGCCTTCAATATATAACAACTCGATATACTAAAAAAAAGATTATCCATAAAAAATATGGCATAAGTTTCCAACTGTTCAATCCCGTCAATTTGATGATTCGCTCGTAATGTAAATAAACGTTTGTACACGAAAGAGAGCCACAACTGAAATAGGAAAATGCTTTTAGGTACAAACTTATCTTTGTGTAAAAGTGAATCTACCACATCAGTACTGTAGTATTTTAGGAGAAGGTAGAACGAGAGAGGGAAGGACATAATGCCAAGAGAACTTAATTCTATGTTTAGTACGCAGTGAAGGGAAAGTTTCTTGTATGTCGAAGACTTCTAGTTATCAGAATGTTTTACCTCCTACCATCTTTGCCCGTGTTCCTCTCTACACCTTCCACGTAAGCTGTCACACTGTTTTTTTATCTTCTTGTCTATAAATGTTTCTTACTTTCCATGATTTAGGATTACATACTTTCTTTCCCTCTGAATTTACGTTCTTCTGTCTTTGCCGATCGGTAATTGAATACCTATATTCTCTCTCTCCCCCTCTCGCAGTCTATCTTTGTTTGCATACTCTCATTTCCAACAATGTCTTTACATTCGACCTCTTTGTCTCATTTTCTGAATTCCCTCCACTGTTTCTCTCACACACAATGTTTTCCCACATCAATTTTTCAAATTTTCGGCGTTCGCCTTGCTGTCTTCCTCTAATTTCTCTCTCTCTCCCTCTCAGCGTTCGCCTTGCTGTCTTGCTCTCCCTCTGAAACGTTCGCCTTGCTGTCTTGCTCTCCCTCTGAAACGTTCACCTTGCTGTCTTGCTCTCCCTCTGAAACGTTCGCCTTGCTGTCTTGCTCTCCCTCTGAAACGTTCGCCTTGCTCTGGTGCGCTCTCTCTCTCTCTCTCTCTCTGAAACGTTCGCCTTGCTCTGGTGCTCTCTCTCTCTCTCTCTCTCTCTCTCTCTCTCTCTGGAAACGTTCGCCTTGCTCTGGTGCTCTCTCTTTCTCTCTCTCTCTCTCTCTGAAACGTTCGCCTTGCTCTGGTGCTCTCTCTCTCTCTCTCTCTCTCTCTCTCTCTCTCTCTCTCTCTCTCTGAAACGTTTGCTCTGCCTCTCTCTCTCTCTCTCTCTCTGAAACGTTCGCCTTGCTCTCTCTGCTCTCTCTCTCTCTCTGAAACGTTCGCCTTGCTCTGGTGCTCTCTCTCTCTCTCTCTGAAACGTTCGCCTTGCTCTGGTGCTCTCTCTCTCTCTCTCTCTCTCTCTCTCTCTCTCTGAAACGTTCGCCTTGCTCTGGTGCTCTCTCTCTCTCTCTCTCTGAAACGTTCGCCTTGCTCTGGTGCTCTCTCTCTCTCTCTCTGAAACGTTCGCCTTGCTCTGGTGCTCTCTCTCTCTCTCTCTCTGAAACGTTCGCCCTTGCTCTGGTGCTCTCTCTCTCTCTCTCTCTCTCTAACGTTTGCCTTGCTCTGGTGCTCTCTCTCTCTCTCTCTCTTGAAACGTTCGCCTTCCTCTGGTGCTCTCTCTCTCTCTCTCTCTCTAAAACGTTCGCCTTACTCTGGTGCTCTCTCTCTCTCTCTCTCTCTCTCTGAAACGTTCGCCTTAACGTATTCCTCTATCTCTGCGTTCGCCTTAACGGATTCCTCTGTCTCTGCGTTCGCCTTGCAGTCTTGTTTTCTCTCTCTCTCTCTCTCTCTCTCTCTCTCTCTCTCTCTCTCTCTCTCTCTCTCTGCTTCGCCTTGCAGTCTTGTGCGTTTCCTCGTACGATTCGTGTCTCTCTCTCTCTCTGCTCGTACGATTCGTGTCTCTCTCTCTCTCTCTCTGAAACGGTCGCCTTGCTCTGGTGCTCTCTCTTTCTCCCTCTCTCTCTCTCTCTCTCTGAAACGTTCGCCTTGCTCTGGTGCACTCTCTCTCTCTGAAACGTTCGCCTTGCTCTGGTGCTCTCTCTCTCTGAAACGTTTGCCTTGCTCTGGTGCTCTCTCTCTCTCTCTCTCTCTCTCTGAAACGTTCGCCTTGCTCTGGTGCTCTCTCTCTCTCTGAAACGTTCGCCTTGCTCTGGTGCTCTCTCTCTCTCTCTCTCTCTGAAACGATCGCCTTGCTCTGGTGCTCTCTCTCTCTCTCTCTCTCTCTCTCTCTGAAACGTTCGCCTTGCTCTGGTGCTCTCTCTCTCTCTCTGAAACGTTCGCCTTGCTCTGGTGCTCTCTCTCTCTCTCTCTCTCTCTGAAACGTTCGCCTTGCTCTGGTGCTCTCTCTCTCTCTCTCTGAAACGTTCGCCTTGCTCTGGTGCTCTCTCTCTCTCTGAAACGTTCGCCTTGCTCTGGTGCTCTCTCTCTCTGAAACGTTCGCCTTGCTCTGGTGCTCTCTCTCTCTGAAACGTTCGCCTTGCTCTGGTGCTCTCTCTCTCTGAAACGTTCGCCTTGCTCTGGTGCTCTCTCTCTGAAACGTTCGCCTTGCTCTGGTGCTCTCTCTCTCTCTCTCGTTCGCCTTGCTCTGGTGCTCTCTCTCTCTGAAACGTTCGCCTTGCTCTGGTGCTCTCTCTCTCTCTGACGTTCGCCCTCTCTGGTGCTCTCTCTCTCTGAAACGTTCGCCTTGCTCTGGTGCTCTCTCTCTCTCTCTCTCTCTCTGAAACGTTCGCCTTGCTCTGGTGCTCTCTCTCTCTCTCTCTCTCTCTCTGAAACGTTCGCCTTGCTCTGGTGCTCTCTCTCTCTCTCTCTCTGAAACGTTCGCCTTGCTCTGGTGCTCTCTCTCTCTCTCTCTCTCTCTCTCTCTCTCCGTTTGCCTTGCTCTGGTGCTCTCTCTCTCTCTCTCTGAAACGTTCGCCTTCCTCTGGTGCTCTCTCTCTCTCTCTCTCTCTCTCTGGAAACTCTGTTCTCTCTCTCTCTCTCTCTCTCTCTCTGAAACATTCGCCTTAACGTATTCCTCTATCTCTGCGTTCGCCTTAACGGATTCCTCTGTCTCTGCGTTCGCCTTAGCGTCTTGTTTCTCTCTCTCTCTCTCTCTCTCTCTCTCTCTCTCTCTCTCTCTCTCTCTCTCTGCGTTCGCCTTGCAGTCTTGTGCTTTCCTCGGATTCGTGTCTCTCTCTCTCTCTCTCTTCGTGTCTCTCTCTCTCTCTCTGAAACGGTCGCCTTGCTCTGGTGCTCTCTTTCTCTCTCTCTCTCTCTCTCTCTCTGAAACGTTCGCCTTGCTCTGGTGCACTCTCTCTCTGAAACGTTCGCCTTGCTCTGGTGCTCTCTCTCTCTCTCTGAAACGTTTGCCTTGCTCTGGTGCTCTCTCTCTCTCTCTCTCTCTCTGAAACGTTCGCCTTGCTCTGGTGCTCTCTCTCTCTCAAACGTTCGCCTTGCTCTGGTGCTCTCTCTCTCTCTCTCTCTCTGAAACGTTCGCCTTGCTCTGGTGCTCTCTCTCTCTCTCTCTCTCTCTCTCTCTAAACGTTCGCCTTGCTCTGGTGCTCTCTCTCTCTCTGAAACGTTCGCCTTGCTCTGGTGCTCTCTCTCTCTCTCTCTCTCTCTGAAACGTTCGCCTTGCTCTGGTGCTCTCTCTCTCTCTCTCTCTGAAACGTTCGCCTTGCTCTGGTGCTCTCTCTCTCTCTGAAACGTTCGCCTTGCTCTGGTGCTCTCTCTCTGAAACGTTCGCCTTGCTCTGGTGCTCTCTCTCTCTGGAAACGTTCGCCTTGCTCTGGTGCTTGCTCTGGTGCTCTCTCTCTCTGAAACGTTCGCCTTGCTCTGGTGCTCTCTCTCTCTGAAACGTTCGCCTTGCTCTGCTCTCTCTCTGAAACGTTCGCCTTGCTCTGGTGCTCTCTCTCTCTGAAACGTTCGCCTTACTCTGGTGCTCTCTCTCTCTCTCTCTGAAACGTTCGCTCTTGCTCTGGTGCTCTCTCTCTCTCTCTCTGAAACGTTCGCCTTGCTCTGGTGCTCTCTCTCTCTCTCTCTCTCTCTCTCCGTTCGCCTTGCTCTGGTGCTCTCTCTCTCTCTCTCTCTCTCCTGAAACGTTCGCCTTGCTCTGGTCTCTCTCTCTCTCTCTCTCTCTCTCTCTCAAACGTTCGCCTTGCTCTGGTCTCTCTCTCTCTCTCTCTCTCTCTGAAACGTTCGCCTTCCTCTGGGTGCTCTCTCTCTCTCTCTCTCTCTCTCTCTCTGAAACGATTCGCTCTGTGCTCTCTCTCTCTCTCTCTCTCTCTCTCTCTGAAACGTTCGCCTTGTCTGCTCTCTCTCTCTCGTTTGCCTTGCTCTCTGCTCTCTCTCTCTCTCTCTCTGAAACGTTTTGCTCTGGTGTCTCTCTCTCTCTCTCTCTCTCTCTCTGAAACGTTCGCCTTGCTCTGGTGCTCTCTCTCTCTCTCTCTCTGAAACGTTCGCCTTACTCTGGTGTTCTCTCTCTCTCTCTCTGATTCGCCTTAACGTATTCCTCTCTCTCTCTTCGCTTAACTCGTCTCTGCGTTCGCCTTGCAGTCTTTTTCTCTCTCTCTCTCTCTCTCTCTCTCTCTCTCTCTCGGCGTTCGCCTTGCAGTCTTATGCGTTTCCTCCTTTTGATTCGTGTCTCTCTCTCTCTGCTCGTACGATTCGTGTCTCTCTCTCTCTGCTCGTACGATTCGTCTCTCTCTCTCTCTGCTCGCACGATTCTCTCTCTCTCTCTGCTCGTTACGATTCGTGTCTCTCTCTCTCTGCTCATACGATTCGTGTCTCTCTCTCTCTGCTCGTACGATTCGTGTCTCTCTCTCTCTGCTCGTACGATTCGTGTCTCTCTCTCTCTGCTCGTACGATTCGTGTCTCTCTCTCTCTGCTCGTACGATTCGTGTCTCTCTCTCTCTGCTCTCATTTTCTCTCTCTCTCTGCTCGTACGATTCGTGTCTCTCTCTCTCTGCTCGTACGATTCGTGTCTCTCTCTCTCTGCTCGTAATTCGTGTCTCTCTCTCTCTCTCTGCTCTCTCTCTCTGCTCGTACGATTCGTGTCTCTCTCTCTCTGCTCGTAAGATTCGTGTCTCTCTCTCTCTCTCTGCTCGTAAGATTCGTGTCTCTCTCTCTCTCTCTGCTCGTAAGATTCGTGTCTCTCTCTCTCTCTCTGCTCGTAAGATTCGTGTCTCTCTCTCTCTCTCTGCTCGTAAGATTCGTGTCTCTCTCTCTCTCTACTCTAAGCTCGTGTCTCGTGTCTCTCTCTCTCTCTCTGCTCGTAAGATTCGTGTCTCTCTCTCTCTCTGCTCGTAAGATTCGTGTCTCTCTCTCTCTCTGCTCGTAAGATTCGATTCTCTGCTCTCTCTCTCTCTCTGCTCTGCTCGTAATTCGTGTCTCTCTCTCTCTGCTCGTAAGATTCGTGTCTCTCTCTCTCTCTGCTCGTAAGATTCGTGTCTCTCTCTCTCTCTGCTCGTAAGATTCGTGTCTCTCTCTCTCTCTGCTCGTAAGATTCGTGTCTCTCTCTCTCTCTGCTCGTAGATTCGTGTCTCTCTCTCTCTGCTCATCGTAAGATTCTCTCTCTCTGCTCGTCGTGTCTCTCTCTCTCTGCTCGTAAGATTCGTGTCTCTCTCTCTGCTCGTAAGATTCGTGTCTCTCTCTCTCTCTCTGCTCGTAAGATTCGTGTCTCTCTCTCTCTGCTCGTAAGATTCGTGTCTCTCTCTCTCTGCTCCCGTCGTCTCTCTCTCTCTCTGCTCGTAAGATTCGTGTCTCTCTCTCTCTCTGCTCGTAAGATTCGTGTCTCTCTCTCTCTCTCGTAAGATTCGTGTCTCTCTCTCTCTGCTCGTGGGATTCGTGTCTCTCTCTCTCTCTCTGCTCGTAAGATTGTCTCTGTCTCTCTCTCTCTGCTCTCTCTGCTCGTAAGATTCGTGTCTCTCTCTCTCTCTCTGCTCGTAAAAATTCTCTCTCTCTCTCTCTCTCTCTCTCTCTGCTCGTTTCATTGTCTCTCTCTCTCTCTGCTCGTAAGATTCGTGTCTCTCTCTCTCTCTCGTAGATTCTGTGTCTCTCTCTCTCTCTGCTCATGGGTGTGTCTCTCTCTCTCTGCTCTAAGATTCGTGTCTCTCTCTCTCTCTGCTCGTAAGATTCGTGTCTCTCTCTCTCTCTCTGCTCGTAAGATTCGTGTCTCTCTCTCTCTCTGCTCGTAAGATTCGTGTCTCTCTCTCTCTCTG